TTTTTTTTCAAACTTAACTGTTTGCCTATTCAAATAGCTAGAAGCCTGACTGTAGCTGGCTTTATTTGTTGAGTCTTGTTCAGTGAAGTGAGAAGAGCTGCGGGGGTGTTTGTTTTGTTTTGTTTTAAAAGCTACATTTTTGTGGGGGGTGGGAAATGAAATTATTTCTTTTGTTCTCTTTCTCAGCTTATTAGGACTCAGGCATGCATATAAAATTGCTGTATCTCAAGAGGTATCTCTGTGAACGGAAGAAGATAGTGATAAACTTATTTTTAAAAAGCATAAAAGGAAAATGAATCTAATGGAAGTAGTTACCCAATATTTTAAATATTATAAAGAAAAAGTCCACAGCAATTTACCTTGCAGTATAGATATACAGACATATTATTCAAAGAAAAATCCAACGGTTATCTTTCCAAATTTTAGAAAAAAAATAGACAGTACTGTAATTGGAAAGCAGGAGATATTTGTGAATAAAAACAGCACTCTCAGTGGATGAGGGACAGAGCTAAATAAATATGGTTCATTTATTATTTATAGATATTATATTAGTATGAATATTGTTTTTCAGATAGAAATATATATTTTAAATACATTGAAACCCAAAATGATATGTATATAATTTTATATAATATGTTGTAAATGTTATATAATAAAATATAATAGAATAAGCATAGCATCTGGAAAAAAAATTCAGCACTGATTCAGACGTCTCATAGGATATGTACATTTGGAAAAGACAAATATAGAGACATTTCAAGCTACATAATCTTTTTCTCTCCTTCATGGAACACAGTGCAAAGAAGATACTAAAATAAAAATGTAACAAAAATTCACTATGAGTGGTAAAAGCTGATGTGTGGGGCTACCCAGTGTTTGGGTAAAGATGACATCTAGCTCTACCTGTTCACTCCATAGTGAGGCAGTAAAGGGACTTGATTAGCATTAATAATAGAATAAGAATACTAAGAAACTAAGAAAACGCTAATATTTATAAATAATTTTTGCATCAGAACAGTGAGGACACAGGGATTTGGGGGCTATAGTGGCTGGGAATGTCTCAGCTCAAGTTGGTTTACCAACTGCAACCTTTCATGAACAATGCCTTTTATACACATGGCTTTAGTAGCGTCATGTTTAATTGTTGTAATGTCCTTTAATGTCGTTCACAGTTCAAAGATTCTACCAAAGTTGGTTACTGAGCACTGTGATATGATTAGTGTTTGTTTATACATTATCTACCACATATATTGAGAATAGACACCATTGTTGGTTTTAGATATATACAAGCCCTCCCACAATATTTGATGCATGTTTATACCTCTGTAATATTTCTTGACTTTTCTCTCCATTTGTTTAACCTAATAAGTAATATTAAGCATTATGTATGCATAGAGATATTTTGATATTATTTCCATTTATGTACACCTGCTATATTAACAACTGATACAGTTCATTTATTTTCTAAATTCAAAATTTGTCTTGTTTACCTTACATACAGTGCAGATGTTTTCAGAATTCAACAGCTAGACATTAGCCATACTTGCTCATTTACTCCCATATCTTGATTAAAATTTTACCTTTACTGAAATAGTTCACTTTTTTTATGCAGAAGTTTCTGCAAAACAAGTTAATGTATGGCTGGTTCATAAAATATGAGTATTTTATAATATGTTTACTAAGTTACAGTAAGAATGCAGTACTAAAAATAATCTTGTTACCAGTTGAATCTAGAAAATATTCCTTTATTCTATTACATTGTTAGCAGAAATGCTCATATTTTAAAACCAGTACAATTGTATCTTGTAGCAAATTAAAATATTTTACGTATTTTTGCTAATGGTAAATATGTTATGAGATTTATGTTTATCTTGTTTAGAAGTACTTGCAACAGATAGCTGTTTAATTTCTTAAAAGAAACAGTTTGAAATATCAGAATTATTTACTACATATATACTTAATTGGACCTAAAGGTTCAGTAAATATTTGATTAGTTTACCAACGTAATACTTCTTAACTTGATTTCAGATTCAGGGAACCTTTCTGTTAACTTTTAGTTTGCTCGATATATACTATAATTTAATTTAAATAGTAATTCTAACTTCAAATTAGTATTCTAAAGGATACTGGTTGTTAAATAACTGATGCAGAGAATATCAAACAAAGATAGAAGAAGTAGCCTATACTGATATTACAAGAACCCCTAAGGACTAGAAAGTGAGGCTAGATCAGCACTATGGCCATTACCAAGTCAGAAGTGATCACAAAGTGATATTTAGAAATATGACAAGTAACAGAAAAAGAATTGAGTATGGTTCCAAGCAAACTGTATCAGCAAATCTGGAGAATAACACCATGGGCAACATTTTGCAAAAGGACAGTTTATATACAAGTACCAAAAAAAAAAGGAGATGAGAACATGAAAGTTATTGCTGAATCGCCTCAATTTCACATGCTAGCAAAATTATGTTTAGGATTATCCAACAAATTTGAGATATTCAAGCTGATTTTAGAAAAGAACAAGGGACAAGAAGCATTGTTGTTGATGCATTCTAGATAATTGAGAAAAATTCAAGAACACTAAAAACAGAGTCAATACATGTTTCATTGCCCTTGTCAATCATGTCAATCTGTGCAATCTTCTTAGGAAAATGAGATTCCCAGATTATTTCGTTGTTCTCATACAAACCTATAAACAGGACAGGAAGGCAGAATAAAGACCAGGGGTCCCTAACCCCCGGTGTGTGGACCAGTACTGGGCCACAGCATGCCAGCAAACGGTCTGCACAAACAAGCAAAGCCCCATCTACGGGATGCAGGCAACACACAAAACCACGCACCCTTCGGTCCACGGAAAAACATCTCTCCATGGAACCTGTCCCTAGTGCCCAAAAGGTTGGGTACCTCTGATATAGACAAGTCTGTGATGAACCTGAAAGGCTCTAGGTTGGCAAAGGAGTGAGATAAGGTTACATAGTCTTTCCTTATTTATTCACCCTAGATACTGAACATACATTGAGGGAGAATGGATTGGAAGTTGAGTGTAGTTTTAAAAGTAAAGGAATAACCTGTACTATGTGATGATTGAATGATACAAGTGATCAAGTTCTAGTAATAAAAATAAAAGAACACCATGAGAAAATGGGGCTGAGTTTAAATACAGATAAAAAGAAAACAAAACTAACGACAATAGGGCCAGCAATCAGCCTTAGATTTTGACAATGAAGATATTAAAATGGTGGATAGCTTCTGTCTAAAAGAACCAATTGTCAGGAAATATACCATGGCTAACACTTCAGTTGGCAACTATGAATATATATTCCAAAGTCACAATATATGTATGGGAATCATGCACCCATTGGTTTTCCTTATGACATCATTAAAAGAAAAGGTTAACTTTAAAGAAACAGTACAGAGTATTGAAGTTTTTGAACTGTGGTATTGGAGAAGATTCCTGATAATACTATGGGTAACTAAGAAAAAAAGAAATGGATTACAGAACAAATCAATCAGAATTCTCACTTGGGGCCCAAATGACCAGGTACAGGTTCTCACACGAGGGCACATTGTGCAAAGATGTAGTCTGTTAAAGAGTCCCTAATTCTAGAAAGGATAAGAGAAAAAGATGATTGGCAGCACGGTGGAGAGATTTAATTACACTGATTAATGGTTGCATGATCAGAAGATCTGAAGGGCCAGGATAGGAACAAATTATTCTAGTGAAAGCCTACCTATGCTTCTGAGAATCAACACTGACTTGATGGCAGATAATAACATATCAGGGTGGGAGCTATTCATTGGACCGCAAACATTTAAACTGTTGCATTTTTGAGATCAATAAATCAGTGCTAAGCCAAATTTGGGGAATTGGACAAATAAAATTTTGTCTTCATGTAAATTCCATCCTAATTGCCAAAATATATATTATTAAACTGCTCCTATAGTTTATTGAAATAATTAGAAGAATGCTGAAGCAAAGTTTGAAGCCTTTATCTGATAATTTAATTAATACACTTCCTTTTCTAATTTCAGTTTGAAAAGGCTTCTTGTTAAAATCTAATTTAATTCAAAAGCTTTAATTTTCATCATTGATCAGGTCAATGGGATTTTATTCCTGAATAACTTGTACTGCTCCTTTCTTTAAGAAACTCTTAAGGATTTTAATTACTTCTAGGTTATAATTAGCACATAAAGCATTCTCTTTTTTTCATAAATCTGTTACTTGAATACTGGCGTGCAATTTATAACACGATTTGTTTGTTTAAAAATGCTACTCATTAAAAATAATTATAATGCAAGGCTAAGGGTAACTCAAGTTAAAAAAAAGTACAGCTTTATATAGTTACCAATAGTAACAGCATAAAAGTTTACAACAAACTAAAACCAAGTTTATCCAAATTTTAAAAATGGATAAACAAGTAAGTGTTTAGTGTGTCCACACTATTACTTATGTAAAAGGCATTTCTTAGTTGTTTGAGTCCTAAACTCTGTTGGGCTTTTATTAATGAACATGAGCACGTAAATTGATTTGGAGGTGGGCTGTCCACTAGGCCAGTTCTGCAGGCGTAGCATGTTCCTAGCATTTTAACCCTATTAATAACCTTACCAATGCATTAGTTGCAGTTTCTGAGCCACTTTCCAACAGCTTTTCTTACAAGCTATTGCAGTAGTCCAATTTTGACAGGAACTGTCATACATGGTTAACTCAGCCATATCTGGGAAAGAGCTCTAGTCATAGAATTTGTGTCTCCATTATTAGCAATTGTTTTAAATCTAAAGAACTCCTGTGATACTTACATTTGTGATTGAATTAGAGTTTTATTTCAGGCCTTTAAAGGAATAGTCTATATATCAAAGCCTTATTACTTGTTTGTTTGCTTGTTTATATTTCACATTTCTTAATCTCCCTCCAACATTTCCATTAGTGACTTTTAGAATTTAATATGATACACTGTATCAAAGATTTATAATTTATAACCATATGTTCCCTTTTTCTTTAGAGCCAACCTACATCACAATCGGTCCACCTACATGTCCTCCTTTGGTGAACTGTACACTAAAAGAGACAGACTGTATTTATGACTTCAAAGTAGATCAATATGGTTGCCGCATCTGCCAGTGTAAAACTAGTAAGTACAAATACCATATTCAGTTAACTTGTTTCAAAAAAATATTCTTAAATTTCCTATTGGTGTTTTTCCTCAAAATTCAGTTGGCTCATGCACAGTACTATTATTGTTATGGTAAATCCTGTTTTTCATTTTGTAAAATAAAACATTTCCAAATATCCATTTTGCTGAGATTCAGTAGGACAGCACACAGATCAGAACACCTTTATTATCTTCAGTAGATGGATTGCCTCTTTGTTAAATCACATATTAAAATACAGATTGTTTTTTAAGTTTTGATGTGTTGATGCAAAGCAGTTCAGCTACTGCACCAGTGGCATATTGATAAAAACAATTATTACTACCTAATAAGTAATTGCTATTAATCAGTAAATTTGGAAACTCAAATTGTTAGGATTGTGTAATATTATTAAGTATTTTTAAAAATGTTGCTCCCATATCAGCGTGATGGTGTTTACTATCCAAAACATTTTCTCATCCGTGTTACATAGGCTAATCAAGCTGTTTATAGCATGGATTCTTCTTCTAAATACCTGAAGCGGTTAAACATAATTATCGATGATTTGTCATAGCACTTTTACATATTGGAACAAAAGCTATAAAACACATTGGATCATTAAAAAAAACTCCCAAAAGCAATACTATCATAATAGCTAACATTATTGTGGAAGACTTTAACATGTAATTATAGCTGACACTTTTCAAACCCAAGAGAGCTTTTGAAAGATTGTCACTTTCAGGCCTCAGTCTTGAAGGAATACTGATTACTATTAATGCGATTCTACTGCATTTTAGTATCAGTTAGTCCATTTTGAGTTTTGCAGAGAAGAAAAACTTCTGTACTGCTTATCTGATGCCCTGTATATGAGTTTCCACCTGGTTTCAAAATTCTGGCTTTTGGGCTCTCATCTTCAAGCCTGATTACTGCTCTCTTTTTGCCTGTCCTCAATGCAATTCATTATTCTGTTAAATTAAGGTTAGTGTTTATCTTTTTATAACATTGAGGAATATGTCTACTTTGCTCTTTTGTTGCAGCTATTGTTTTGTGTAAACATCAAGTTTCTTTAACATAGGAACATTGTTCCTATGTTCCTGTCATAGGAACATTTAAACTATAATAAAAAACATGATTGTTTATATTATTGACATGTCGGTTTTTTTAAAATAACTTTGCATACAAGGGCTACAACTTGCAGTTTTCAGCTTCTTAAACATGAGAAACTGAAAACCTTTGACTAGATAGCACTAGGTAAAGCATAGAGCTTGTAGTTCATACATTTTGTTAACTATAACTTGCCTGTACTTTTCATATTTATTTCTTATACTTAAATTCCATTCTTTGCAGAAAGTTGTTTGTATGAGGTTTCCAGGCCAACTTCTTCCTAAACAGTGAACGGTCCTTCTAAATTTTAACTGTATAACAATCCTTTATATTGCTCCAAGTTGTACCAGGTTCTTATCTTAAAATATTGTAGCGGTCAGCTTTCCAACTAACAAGTTAATTTCCAATCATTACTATCAAAATACTAAGAATTTTCTTTCATTTTATTGCTTAGCTGTCTTCTGAATGGGAAGAAGAATGATCAAGAAAAAGCACAAGGGCAAGGCAATATGAAAATAAAACCCATTAATGTATTTTATTAGCATAAATGCCTTGTCTATGAATTTATTTAAAATTGATGTATCATTTCATGAACATGTTATGTTGATACTGAATAGTAAATTTTATATTATAAGCCACTCTGAGAATATTTAAAATCTGGAATTTAGATAATTAGACAATATAGACCATTGTAAGTGACTGGGGAAGAGGAGAATTCTGTATGTGTATGCCTTTAATTGTTGAGACAAATAACCATTTTCTCTCTTTACTAAACTTTCTATGTTCTTTCACAGGGGAGGAGCGGTGTACCGATCTCATGTCAGATTGTTCCTTGGACTGTGACTTTGGTTTCCAGACTGATGTCCATAATTGTAAGATCTGTCAGTGCCACCCACGACCTAAGAAATGCAAACCCATAGTATGTGACAAGTACTGTCCCTTTGGATATTTGTACGTATTCTTATTTTAAAAGCATATTTACTACAGTTTTGTAAGCCTTTAACATTGTGTAAAGCAAAGCCTAACACAATTTATGTGTTACATGTTGAAGACAGAAAGTATATAAAGGCACAAAAATATTTTACCCTTATTAAGGTAAACTTTTATAGTTTTGAATGAAGTATAGTTTCAAGGAGATTTATTTATTTTGCTTCACTTATTTAATAAAGCAGAACAAAGAGAGAAAAATGAAACAATATTTTAAAAAATAGTCAAAAAAGAAAAAGGAAATAAAATGCAGTTACAACATAAAATGTATATAGAATTTATCATGAATATATGGATGCATATACATGCAGTTTTTATAGAACTTCAGAGAACAATAACTATATTTTAATGTAATTATTCATGCATAATCTACATTTTTTTGCATTTTGTTTGTAACTTGCAAATAATATCAGCTTTCTATCTACTGTGTAATTTGGTCCATAAATTTGTCCATTGTTGAAGAACTGATCTCCAGGGTTTAGAGCAGGGTACAAAAAATCCATTTTCATTGCCAGCTGTCACTTTCTATGTAGTAAGTATGTAGTTCAAAAATATTTGTTTCAAATCAAATTCATAAATATAACAACTTCATGGAACATAACAAATTTAGGACATTGTAACAGCATGTTTAAATGAAGTATTATTTTGGTTTCATCTTCAGTAATCACATAATTTACTTACTCTTCTCTGTACAAATGCAATGGGATCCAATAAGTCCAAATTTTGATTTTTAGTTGTATAAGCGGTAATCTAAGACCTAATAATGTTTTGGTATTAAGGTTAAAACATTTTCTCATTGTTTAGGCAAAATGGGTGTCTCTAGTTCCCTATTCCAGTCAGTCTTTATAATTTATATATTAAATTGATAATATAATTATAAGGATTGATTGTGGGCTTTTTTGTCTGAAAGGGTTTAAAGATCCCTTCTAATAACATAAGTGTTTTTGAGGCTGAAATTGCTACTAATATCTATATAAGTTATAATTGTAAATACCGCCAGCAGATGGCAATTGACAAATATTATTTAATAAAAAACTCATCATTATCATCCACTCATTGATCTAATGCATGGGTCTTCAAACTCGTTCCTTTTATGACTCATGGACTTCAACTCCCAGAATTCCTCAGCCAGCGTGCCTGGATCAATATGATTGCAACAAGAAATATATAAAATATATTATATTTGTAATTCCACGCAATCCAATTAACTAAAGATGTCATATACAAATACTCCAAGTAGGCCCAAGGAGAGATTTACCAAATTTTTCCATGTATAAGACGTATCCTTGTATAAAACGCTCTGGCATGCGAGTTCCAAGCTTACAGCAAACAAAGTCAGTGCTGGGAGCAACTGCCTCCCAGCACTCTAAATAGACGCCTCCCGGCCAGCCCCCCACCTCCACCCACCTAACCAGCATGCATAGTCAGTTCACAGCAGCAGCTTTCCAACCCTGGTAAACAAACTGGCGTGAACACCGGCATGACAGCAAGGCAAGGGAAGCGAAGGCAAGTTTTAAACTCCCCGCCATTTCTCTGCGCCGATCAGCTATTTGGCAGAGCGCCGAACAGCTGAGCCGGCAAATCCGGAAGTTCGGCCGGCCGCTATTATTGAGCAGGACGGCCTCGCAGCTGCATTCCACAAGGTCCCCAGCCAGCATAATGGTACAAAGGAGGGAAAGGGCTGTCACTGCCATCCTTGCTGCTGGTCCCATCCGCTGCCTCCAGACGCCATCATTGGATGATCTTGCCCCTCCCCCTCCTATTAGTGGCAAGCCCACAGGGGCTTGACACCTGTACCAGGCGGCATGGCAGCAGCATGTAAAGAACCTACACAGGCATGCCCTGGGCTGCGGAGGTTACCATTATTTTTCTATGTATAAGACGCTGCACTTGTATGAGATGCACCTAATTTTTGAACAGGGTGTTTGCAGGAAAAAATAGCACCTTATACACAGAAAAATATGGTACCTTTACTGTAATTATTCATCTAAAATTGGTGAACTACATGTGGCTTTGAGGTCAGCAGGGTCCACAATTCCCCAGTGCTGTTCCAGCAATAGTTATCCTTAGATTAAATGTATTTGCAAATTAGATACATTTGGAAACGGGGGGTGGGGTGGGGGGGCATGATTAGCACCTTTCCCAGCAGCCAGTATTTAAGGCATGCTATTAATTCAGAAGATAAGGGTCAACCATAAATATTGGTTACGAAGCTTGCTGCTTCATGAATTTGTTGAGACCCTCTCTAAAGCCATCCAAATTGACTGCCATTATCACAGCTGCTGGCATAGTGTCTGTATGTTTAACTAAGACTGAATCTACGTGCATTTAAGTTCTAACTTTGCTTTCTCTCCATGTTATCATGACACCTTTATCATGTCTCACCTTAGCCTCCTTAATTCTAAGCTAACCAGCCATAAATACAAAAAGGGCTCAATGGTTGTCTTTTTTGTGTCTTTTCTTTTTGTAAAATCTCACCCTAAGTGCAGTTGCCAGTACTCTACGCAATATTCCAAATTGGGGGGGGGGGTTATTCCCCCATTGCTGTGGGATTCATAGAAGGCAGGATATATTAACATTTCTCTCTCTACTAAATTAAATGCAGCTGATAAATGCAGTAATACAATTGAAGGAATTTTGTTTCGTACCCTTGGAAATATGTGAACAGTTGAAGTGTTCCAGCAATACATCCACCATATTTTATATGAAACTTTTGATATTAAATATTCTTCACTGTGACCCCTTTCTAAAGAAATTTATCTCTTTTTCTTTACTAGAATTAACACTTTTTAACAGTTCAGAATTGGTTTTTAATTATTAAATCCAATTATACAAAATGATTTATCTGAAGCAACTAAATTAAAAAAACTGCTTCCCGTAATCTTTAACAAAGCATAACTGATATCATTTTTAGAATAGAATAGAATATTTTTTGACCAAGTGTGATTGGGCACACAAGGAATTTGTCTCCAATGCATAAGCTCTCAATGTACCTACAAACAACAAGATAATATAATCAGGTGCTCAGTAGAATGATGGCACCAGGAAAAAAAACTGTGTCTAGTTGGTTTGGCCTGCAGTGCTCTATAGCTGTTTTATTGTTAGTTGTTCTTCACTGGGAATATTAATAATCTGAATGAAGGCTGAAAAATCAAAAATTTAATCCAGATAAGGTAGGGGGTTCTTCTCCATTGCTGACTTAGAAATAAGAATTTAGCTTGTCTTCAGTGTTATAGCTTCATCTATGATCTGATTTTGCTCCTGGATGCTAAGTTGGCCAAGTTTATGTTTGCTCAGCTGTCTATTGCCTCTGTTCTTGGAAACATAAGATCTTGCCATGGTAACATATGCATTAGTTATAATAGCTTTGATTATTTAATTATGTATGGTTTTCTGTGTGGGACTGGTTTTGAAGAGTGGCCAAGAATACAGTAGCCAAAGTGTATGCTGAGGTTAGCATATGTTATAATCTTATTAAAACAACAACATTGATTTCTAGTCTTTTCTTACGAGGAATTAATTTAAGATCAGGACATTTAAGAACCTTAATTAAGTTCTGTAAGGATTTTTTATGTCCTAGTAGCTGAGGCCCATGTAGCAGTAGGAGAAGGAAATATGTTTTCTGAAACCAGCAGAAAAAATACATGCATTTTTCTAGGGATGTCAGTTTCCTTTCTGCTAACTTTCTGCTTCTTCCTAAAGGCCTTGTCTTTTATGTTTTGTTATCTTGATTTCTATTTGAGTGTTGAACTATTGTTGATTTGCTGTCCTCTAGTATTTTAATTTTAATTTTATTTTAACTGGTATTGGAGACTTCCTTTAACCTATGTAAAACTAGAAAGAAATTCAAAGTATGACAGTAGGACATCTTGATTCCTGCTGAAGTATCAGAACACTCTAATAGATATTTCTGAAATGTTATCCTGCATTACTGTTCCATGTATTAAATTGCACCAACCATTTAAAGAAAAATAGCTAGTGTTTCAATCACTGCATTGATGTATTCAGCACATTATTAAATTGATAGTTTCAGCAGCATTTAAAAAACATATATAGCAATCTTACATGTACACATAGTCCTCAAGTTGCAATCATAATGGAGCATGGCCATAATGGTCAGAAGCCAGGAGGGACATTAATTGAACTGCCTCAGGGCTCGGGGAGATCCTGGGGGGGGGGACTAGTGCAAGGACAAGCCCACCTGCAGCCGTCCTTCTAAAGTGTTCCCCTCCCATTCCCTGAGACACCCCATGCTCCACTTCCTGTCCTTTGGGATCCCCACAATCCTATGGGCCTCCTCCCCACCCCACTGCATCACAATCAGTGAACTATGCCCTTTTTCTAAAAGCGCAGAGCACTGAATCAGTTGAAGACTGGGATAGACCTCATCTTTTAGGGGAGTTGGTCAGATTTCTTTTTCAGAGAAAACATACTTGGAATTTTAGCAATCACAATGCTGCCCTCACAAAATGCTTCCTTACTAGCGAGGTTAAGAGAAGAATTGGAGCCTGAAAGTTTCTCTTTCTCTTTCACACACATGTGAAATAGATGTCTCATACCCAGTGCTTTTTTTTGTAAGAAAAAAGGTGCCAGAACTTACATCTTGTTAATCTTTTATTTAAAAAATTATGTATTCAGTTCTTAACCTAAATTTAATTTATTGTATTTTAGGCAAATGTTCATAGTAAATTTTACACTAAAAATTAAAAAAAGATTTTCAATTCACCAATGATTTTTTAAAATAAATTATTTACCTTTCGCACATAGTCAATCCCTGTACACATACCCACACACATCAGTTGTGTAATGAAACATAACAGTCACCACCCGCAGTAAGCACTCAGCGTGCAACCACATGACCGATCACAAGCCGAGCAGTGCCATCACAACCAGTGTGGATGAAGTACGCATGCATCGGACTCGACACACAAGCAGCCCACATGCACCGTTTTAACGATTTTGCCACCAACCTGCTACACTCAAGAGGGCAATTCAAGTCCACATAGACCAAACATCAAATTTTCAAAAGTTACTTTTAAAACTTGCAAAATCCATCAAAAAAAGGTGCCGGAACTCTGTTCCGGTGCGTTCTATGACAAAGAAAGCATTGCTCATATCTACAGTTTACTACACTTCTCACTTTTGCTGCCCACAGTTCTCACTAGTTTGACTTCTCTGAGTTGGGTAACACTGAGCCTCAGGCTCTTCGTTTACTTTTCCTGTTATCGCAGACCCACCTCCAAGCACTTTTTCCTCCAAATCAGACATCCACAACTATGCTGCTTTTATTTGTTCTCATACATTTTAATCCAGGTAGTCTTAACAAAGGTACCAAGTTCATTCCTTTGAATTTCTTAGCTGGTATAAATATTTTATCATAGAGGTTGCCTCTCTTTTTTTTTCTATTGCTCCTATTACAATGGAACAAGTCAGTCATGAAATTTAGTCTACCGAATTTTTGTTATATCTGCCTTCCTGTATTAAGTCTTTAACTTCATCTAGTTTGTTTCTGTGCTCTGCATATTAGTATGTAAATAGCAAATTTATGAGGCAATGTCCTTCCTCATATTAATAAAACAGATCCCATTATAGTCCTTTCCTCTTTTGATGCTTAAAGTTCTTATCTAAAGATCTTACATCTGGATTTTCTTTTGTCAGACCCCACAATATTTGGGTTTAAAGTTAAATCAAGCTTACCATTTTTCAAATATATTTTCCCAGTACTTGTTGGGATGTAATGTTTCTCACAACAGCAATCTCTACTATAGAAATCATAAGCCATAGTCTCAGAAATCTAGTTTCTCATATTTTCATAACCAGTTGTTCTTTTTTTATATTTTCCAATGGTCTTCTATCAATTGAACCCTCGACTGTTTGAGCTTTCTGGCCTCATGCTTCTAAATCTGAGCAATGCAGTTATAGTTGCTCTTGGCAGAATTATTGATCCTATGGAGATAAAGCAAGAAAGGCTAATTGCTGGGTGAGACTGATGAGTCTTGGCAATTGTTTTGCCCTATTTATTCATCCAAAATTAGGCAAGATAAAGAATAAAAGAAATGATAATGATTCCTCCAGAAATGAAAAATATAAACAATGTTAAGACTTGTAAACTAGTAGTTCCATGTAAAAGTAAAGGCTCCTTTCCTTACTCTGTTCCATTAATTATAGAGGCTAACTACCTATTACTCTTAGGAAAATGTTGTTCAGATAACCATGTCAAGATTGAACATGAACATATTTTTTTCTTAGTCAGATTCTATACTGGTACCCCATCTAGTGGATAAAGCAGCAGTTGCAGCTGAAAGTTTAAATAAAAGCTGAAGGAAATTACTAATGACAGAAAATAAAATCTAGAGAACTGTAGCCTGGCCATGATTGCTCAGCTCACAGTGACAATGTAAGCTATGGTCATTTGATCACAATTTCCAACATTCCCTGTCAGCCTCTCACAAACATAGTCAATGGGGACTCCTTCAATAGGAAGTCAGACGTCATGGTCACACAAGGTCCTCACTTAACAACACATGATTCTCACTTATCAATGGTAACTATGGTACCTTAACAATGGTAAAATGCTGTTGCTAAGCAACATGGTCACATGACATTGTGCTTTATGACTGCATTGCTTAGCAATTGTAGTTCTGATCCCAATTACAATTATAACCCAAAGGCTATCTTATACAATAAAACCAATTCCTTATTGAAGAGATTTGTACTTGAATCTGAGCGAAGTTTAAAGGAGAAATAAATAAATCACATCTGAAATATTAATTTTGGTATAGCATTAGTGATTTTTTTTCTTTTTCACATTTAGTTTAAGGTAGTAGTGGTGTTACAAAAATTATGCAGAAATTTATAGCACAGTCCTTACATTCAGAAAAAAACCCCCCAGTATCTAGTGATGTTTACTTATATGCATATTTAGGAACATACAAGTAGGTAAAACAAGAAATACATGATTGTATTTTAAATTTCCGAAATAAAATAACTGATGTGGAGAGGCAACATTAGGCTTTACCCCTTTTTAAATTACTGTTTCACAGTAAAACTCTATAAAAAGCTAACCCCTGAACAAATAGTTCAGATGATTTGAAGAATGAGACCACTTCGCATTGTGATTATTGCCTAGCGCTAAAGAGGAGAAATTGTAGCTGTTTCAGTATAAAAACTGAAAGTATGTAATAGCAACAATTCCTATCCATTGGCAAGTAAAACTAGAGAAGTCATAACTTACTGTGGAACATCACTTATCTATAACTTAGGGACATTGAATTTATTGTTTAAAAATATTAACTATCCATTCAAACTATTAAATATTGCAATTCTTTAACCATGGTGTTTGTAATGTAGACATGCCATCTAGGAAGAATTAGGAGAGCATTCAAGGATCCTTCAGATTGCTCTTTTCATTTAATAAAATTGGCTTGAAACTTGACTCTTATTTTGAGATAGAGCTCCCCTTTTCACTGAAGAGACTGGTAAGGATAGGAAGTTTCTCCCCCAAATAATACAATCTAAACACCAATGCAGCCAAACCATCAGTCAGCCAACAAATTTACATGTGAATGGGATATCCTAGGAATGTCTAAGTCTTTCTCATCTAAGGTCCTTTTCAACTCTTGTTATTCTGTTATTTACCCAGAAGAATAGGCAAATTGCTAGACTCTATTGTAATAGATACAGGTAGTCCTTGAGTTACCACTGTAATTAACCCCATAATTATGGTTGTAAATCATCACAGTTGTAAAGCAGGTCATCATATGACCAGACCCAGTTTTACAACCTTTTTCTGATTGTTGTTAAGAAGCCACAATTGTTAAAAGTGAGATGCAGGAGTTGAATCTAGAACTTCCTGTTTCTCATGATTTGGGGCTACTTTTAATCTGTAGTAAAACACTCTAGCATGATTATACCCAAAGTCTTAACAGTTAATTGTTTCATATGGTTTCTTCATTGTTGTTTAGCCTGGAAGAAAAGCTAATATGTATAGAGAAGTTTAGGTTGGCAGTTGGATATACCATTAATGGCAGTTGAGCTCAGAAATGTTCAAAGTATCACCTGACCCAGGAGAGAAGAAATCTAGAGGGGAGAGATTTTGTTTGAACTTCTAATAGTCTGTAATTATAGGACTTGGTTTTGTTTTTGTTTTTAGTCTGAGCTTCTTAATTTAAAGTGTATATTTAAATTGAGATGTTTTGTTATATTGCATTTTAATATTATATTTGATTATTAAGTAGCTGTAATTCATATTGGAAGGGGGAGTATAAAAATATATGGTAATTTGAACATAAAGAATAGGTATAGGGCAATCTGCAGGGTTTTTTAAAAAAAAGCTTCTCATTATACTTTAATTTGAAAATGGGAATATTCATTACTTCTAGTGAAGAGCTACGTATCAAGCTTTCCTTCTGTTCATCACTTGCTCACCTCTGCATTAATTCATTATAATTAAAATTAAGCATCCAAACATACTAAGGTTGCTTTTGATTAAATTGAATAAGTTCAAGTTTATAACAGAGCCATTGTATGTTTCTCCTTCTTTTAGATTTCTATTTGTGTTGCAGCATTCTATCCACCAAAGAACTATTGATAAATGAGCATTTATTTAATTTGATGATAAATATACATTAGAAAGATATTTGGCAACCAGATATATGAACTGAAAATAAGGTCTAAGTTTTTGTTTTAATCAGGTTATTCAACTTAAATAAATTAAATAAATTTATTTTTCAAATAATTCCAGAACAAAATATGATTTATGAAAAATAATATAAATAATCTTCATTATTTAGCAAGAACAAACATGGATGTGAAATCTGTCGTTGTAAGAAATGCCCAGAGCTTTCATGTGGGAAGATCTGTCCAATGGGCTTCCAGAAAAATAACCAAGGATGTAATATCTGTAAATGTGCTGGTATGTGCAACTACTTCAGATGTATTTTTTACATTCTTTGCATCAAATACGATTAAAATAGTGTGATTTGTTCCAATCTATGTTCAAGAATCCATTCATTTAATTTGAATATTAGTGAAAATCTTGGAAGTTCTGAATACTGGAGATTGGTGGATGAATTTGAAATATTTAATAATATCTCATAGGCATTCTTCCAATGGCTTACATGGAGGGATATAGCCAGTCACAGGGCAATTTATTAAAAACCTTTGCTGTACAGTTTCAATTTTCTTGGCAGGACGGCTGGTACACTTTCATACAAGCACTAAACTAAAACTACCAAGTATTGTTTTTAAGAATGCTTATAATCCCATTGGGATTAAGGGGATTCTTATAAAGAAAGGTCAGTACTTTGCTTTACAGTGCATTTTCCTTGTTTATTTATATGTTGTGAATTAATTAAAAATAAACAAAAAATATTTTACTACAATAGAATACACTTCCTTTTTAACAGGGTTTATAAAATTGTAGAATGTAATTCATATATTCATATATTTATGTATTCTACAATGTAATCAGTCCTCAAAGATAAAATGTATATTAGTGTTGTCTCTTCCATGTAAACTTGTATAAGTATATATTCTCAAAAATGTAAATGTCTTAGTTTTCTGTGTGAAAGATTACAAATCTTCCCCATAAGAGAAAGAAACAACTGCACCCTCTGGTACTTAAAGCTTTGATATTTGAAAAGTAGATATTAAGTTAAAAAATAGAAGGATGGTGGCACTTTCTCTCTGCAGAAATTTGTCACTGTTTTAATAAATCTGTAATATGCAAGTTAATAATTCTTTAGTGCTGCAGTCTTTTACAAAAGAATTCACATTATTTATTTTGAGTTTATTTTCAAAGCTTATTTTCAGTCCTTAGAAAGCTTATTTCATTGTTATTGTTTTGCGTCCCAAAATTTCTAGTTTTTTTTTTCCTATGAATTGTGGAGAGAAGCACTTTCTGCCTTCTGTCTCAGGTGTTTTGCTAATTTTTTTCATGGTTTCATATCTATGCCTTATTTGATTTGATTTTACACATTTGTATGCTGTCCTAATAAAAAAATCTGTGCTGTGTGACTCTCTGACTGTGGTGTTAATATAAACAATAAATATTAAGAATAGTCATTGTCTGTTAAAAATAATTATTCTAAAACATTGTATTTTTTATCACGTACAGAGATACCAGCTTCTATAATACCACCTGCTAAGTTAGGGACTTGCTTGTCAGTAGATGGGCATCGTCATGAGAATGAAGAAAGTTGGCATGATGGCTGCCGTGATTGTTATTGTCATAATGGACGGGAGATGTGTGCTTTGATTACTTGTTCCGTACCCAACTGTGGCAATCCAACAATACACCCAGGACAATGTTGCCCATCATGCCCAGGTACCATTTTATTTTATTTAAAAAACTCTGCTTTTTAACTGCATGGCCCTTTTTTGTCTTGCCAGAGAAGATTTTATAAGCAAAAAAGGCTGAGATACTTGCTAGATAAACCAGTTGAAACCTGCATTGCTTCCATGTAATTCATAGACTTTATAAATTTACACTTGGCACTAATCTTATACATCCAGAACATAATAATTTTAGCTTTCAAAGGCAGAAATATTTTAGTTTTCATACTCATCGTTAGTAATGTAATTGAATGAAGAGAATGCAAGAAGGGCTAAATATTCTTAAATATTTAGGCTATTTTGATTGCCAAAAAACAGAGAGAAAAGAAAAGTACAGTTATTCGTGTAGTCATTCTATCTAGTTATGCAAACTGGAGGGAAAGAGCAAAGATCTGATTTTTTTTAATCAGAGTTGTACTGGAGGTGCACAATCAATCTGAAGTCAGTGGATCAGGAATAGAACAATCTTGTGATTAATCCATATTTTTGTATAATATAGATATTTATCACTGTGTAACTTCCATTACCTTCCTATAGCCACATATTAGACAAGTCACAAAGATTCCACAAAGTATGTGGAAGTTGTATGATACGTTTAATTTTAATTGCCCTCTTTGGAGTTATAAGCAGGCAAGAATCCAGTTTGGTTTGCTAGGGATTTATTTATTTGAGTGAGTGAGTGAGTGAGTGAGTGAGTGAGTGAGTGAGTGAGTGAGTGAGTGATTTATTGATTGATTGTTCAAATACATGAACAAAAGTACCATACCTTCTTTGGGTCATAGAGAGATCACAATATATTTACAAGTAATCAGTCTATTCAATATTTCTGAACTAGTTTTTGCTCCATCCCCAAATACCTTACTGTCACTTACAGCATTCAGTGGGTAATCCTAAAAACAAAATCTGCCTTTATTATCATAGCACTGTTTTAAATTTATTTCTTGTTTATTACAGTGAGGCAAACTTAGATGTTTAAAATGTGTTAGTTTATAAATATAATGATTTACAATAGATTTAGAAACCATTACTATTGTTTGAATTTATATTTTTAATGGAAAGTCAATGAAATTTTCTATTTCTTGGGTTTCTGTTTTTCACAGATGAATCCATTGCACAGAAGCCAGAAATCAGTGGTCCAACCATTTGTTATGTTCCAGGAGGAGAGTATTTTATGGAAGGAGATACATGGAACATTGATTCGTGTACCCAGTGTACATGTCATAATGCAAGAGTCTTATGTGAAACCGAAGTTTGTCCCCCTCTACTTTGTCGAAATCCTACACGTACTCAAGACTCATGTTGTCCCCAGTGTCCAGGTTAGCTTTGTGTAATATATTTTAACATATTTGTTAAAACAGTTTAATTTGCCCTATGTCATTACATCTCAAAAATAAGTATAATCAATAGTATTTGAAAAAATACTACTTAAAAGTATCCATAGCCCAGCAACCACATGATGAAATCTTTCATTACTCCTGTGTAAGTTTTTTTCCAAAATATAATCTTCAATTGTATTTCTCTGGAACGCTGCTCTTGGGCACCAATGTATCTAATGTGAGGACAGAATTGAGCCTCCAAATATAAGCCCGCTCTTCTGAACCTAAATATGTCTGTTATACATTCACTCAAACTTTGTAGCTCTTATCTTGTGTTTCCATTACACGAGTTCTATTAATCCTAATTATGTATTTGTCACTTTGGGGATTAATAAACAAACATATTCCATCTGCCTGTTTCACACACATCCCTCAGAGAGACTCCACCATCCTCCTTTCTCCTTTCTATCAGATCAGTTTTCAATTGAGAGGCAGTTTAATGTAGTTAAGGTGCTGGCCTAGAACCAGGAAGCTGCAAGTTTTAGTCCTCCTTTAAGCCTAAGAGCCAGCTGGGTGATTTTGAGCCAGTCACTCTCTCTCAGCCTAACCCACCTCACAGGGTTGTCGTGAGGAATATAAGAGGCAGAGCATCAAGTATGTTCACTGCCTTGAGTTGGTCAAATCATATAAAAGGTGAGATAAGTATCTAAAACTAATAATACATTTTGTATTTTCAAGCGTTCCTAAGAGCATTAGCTGCCTTTTCTTTCATATATATATATATATGGCTAACAAGATTTAGTTTTTAACAAGGTAGTTTCATTGAAGTTAATAAAATATTTCATGTATCAAACACAGACCAAAAGACTGAATGTTTTTACTTGAGCATTTAAACACGGTAGGATTATTATTATATAAAATATACACTCATAATATGTTAAGCCTAATATATACTGTACAACTTCTTTACTCACCTTCACTTAAGGATATATTTATAAGTGACCGGTGACAGTACTTACCAAGGTGACAAGTTTTCCTTTTTACCTTGTGTTCTTAACTGTTCATTTTTCCTTGTCATAAATGCAGTAATAACATAGTTCTTAGTTTATACCAGCCTTCTACTTCAGTCGGTTCTGCTGTAAGCTGAAGTAGCCTTTCCTTTCCTTTCTCTTTTCCACCCACACCACCCACACCTGTGCAGCAGCGTTTCTCTTTTATCTCAGTACAGGTGTGGTCCTTTACTCTTAAAGTCTTAGGGAACACAAAACCAATAGGAAGAAAAACTCCCATCAGTAGCCTTGAGTCTTTCCTTCTACACACAGACTTTAAACAAATACAAAAGCAGCTCATCAGCCCCTGTGGAGTGACAATAGCTTCTTGTTAAATTCATCAGTCAATCTTCAGCAATTCTAGTTACAGGCTATTCTTTCCTGTTTAGCAATATGTAAGAATCAGCCCACCTTTTAAAAAAAAACAACCAGTGTTATTACAATGTAGGAGTGTGTATATGTTCATAAAAGTGAACTGGGAGTTGTTTAAGCAAATGTGGCTGCTTGTTATCTCCTGCCCAGAAGTGTATGAGCCTGCAGGAAGACGAGACAAAAAATGTAGGGTTACAAAAATCATAAAGGTTACAATTACTTTTTTCCTCTTTTTCCTTATGAACAGCTATTGATAAAACAAAGTATAGTTTGGCACTTCCCACTTCTTTTGCATTCAAGGAAAAATATCTGAAGCATCATTTTCTGACAACTGGGCATAAATAAATAGAATATTTTTCTTTCGTATATACGTTCTCTTGGTGTTGGACTGCCTTTTCCAAAAATGATTTGTCAGCATCCAGGAATCCCTTAATCTATACTTGTTCTGGGGAAAGGACCATTTAGTACAGTGGTTCTCAACCTGTGGGTCGGGACCCCATTTGGGGTCGATCGACCATTTCATGGGGGTCGCCAAGCAAGGCTGTCCGCCATTTTTTTTGTCTGCCATTTTTTCCCCCTTTTCCGGTGGGTGCCTTACCTCCCTTGGGCTGGGCCAGCTGGTGGTCGGCCTGCTCCGTCTCTGCCGCTTGCCAGCTACGCCTCGGCCGGCGCAGGGGGCAAAACCACGCATGCGCGGTGCTCCCGGGCAGGGAAAGTCCTCGACTTACGACCGGTTGGGTAGTCCTCGACTTACGACCAGTTTAGTCCTCGACTTACGACCAGTTTAGTCCTCGACTTACGACCGGTTGGGGTCGCGGCATTAAAAAGGTTGAGAACCACTGATTTAGTAGAAGCCCTTAATGAAAAATTATATTCCAAAGGATGCTGCTAGCTGCCAAGTTACATTGATCAAAGCGCTTCAGTGCTTTCATGAAGAATAGGCCATTTCAGGAATTACAGCATCATAAGCATGGCAGGGAATTGAAAATGGAGCTCCACTCCTGATCTCTTAACAGCATTATTATTATTATTATTATTATTATTATTATTATTATTATTATTATTATTATTATTTATTAAATTTATATACCGCATTCCATATGTTCAAACACCTTGCACAACCAAGAGTTCCAATACTACAGTGGGAAGTAATTCCGCTTCAGAACCATCTACATATGTGTTTAAATATGTATATGTAAAATAAAAAGTATATCCGTGCCAGTTCCTATCACTCCTATGCTCTTTGTGTATTTTTTTTAGATGAGCCTATTCAGCCTTCCTTGTCAACCAATAAGAGCATGCCCAGTTACTGCAAAAATGATGACGGTGATATCTTCTTAACCGCTGAGTCGTGGAAACCAAATGTTTGTACCAGTTGCATTTGTCTGGATGGTGGAATCAGCTGTTATTCTGAATCTTGCCCACCAGTATCCTGTGAAAGACCTGTTTTGAGGAAAGGGCAGTGTTGTCCTTACTGTATAGGTAAGCACTGGAAAGGAGAGAGAAAAATATGATGGGACTGCTTTTTTCCAATCTTATTTAAAGTTAAGATGGTCTGCCCATTTGGGACTTAATTGTATTTTTTTTATTTATCTGTGATACATTTAAAGCATATATTGAGAATTATAGTGTAATTATTAATTATACCCTAGTGCTGTTCTTTGTGACTAAGTATCAGTACAGGCAAATATCATAGGTAATGTTGCATAATATTATTATGGTATTGTTAAAATTAAGTATTGAACAAATCATAGCAAAAATAGATTTATCATACATTTGAGTTTGATCTAGCCATAAAGGAAGGAAGGAAGTCTTCCTACCTATCTAATCATTATCTGATATTATATTTTGCTTGCTTTTCAATTATGCCTTTCAAGGTTTTGGGAAGCAGAGTGATTGTATATTTTGTTTCACTAGATACTGTTAACAAAAAGGAGAGGACATGTTAATATTGATGTTTTCTGTAGTCTAGAGCTAAAATCATAGCTAACATCAGTTACAGTCATATTGGTTCAGGCCATATCCAATGTTTTGCATTTATTGCATTATATATGAAATCATTCTGTGAATATCTTTCTTTCTGCTTTCTGCAAAGATTGTATCCATAAGAACTATAAATATCCGGGAAAGCAAGTGACAAAATGTGTGCTTTGATGACATGATACAAATATTGTTACTTAAATTTGTATGTAAATTTAATAAATAAATTTAATAAATAAATATGTCAGGCTAGCAATATAAAATCATAGCAGTTAGATGAAATATTAGCATATTTTGTTGCAGGTGGTGCTGGCATTTTTTAAATTTCTTATTTTAATTATTAGCTAACACATACATTTTTCAGTGGTTACATATTTTTCCATACTTAAGTGGGTTTTCCTCTGGCTATATGTTGTGTATATGAGCTGTGTGTGTTTGCATATGTACATATATAAGCATAAACATATATACATACACAAAAACATACTTAACTGGATTCATCCTTTGTAATTTTCTGCCACTTTCTGATTTCTCCTAGCAAACTGAAATAACAAAATGTGTTTAGAGTTCAGACAATTGAAAATGAAAAAAGCTCGTATTTCCCTCAGTTGCTATGAAATAGATAATTTTGTTCCCATTTATTGTGACAGAATACAAAATTCACATCTTGCATCTTATCAGCTCAAGCACGATCTAGGTGTCCCAAATGACTTCTTAAAATAGAAAACTAATGTTAAGATTTAGATTCCAAACAAGCTTGCTTTTAATATAGTTAGCATTCTACTTTTTTGCATGATATAATTTTAGTTGAATGAGTACTTTCCAATCCATCCCAACCCCCACCTCTATTGCAATACCTCCATATTGCCACTGTGTTTCTCTTATTAATGTATTCATGTGAATTCCCAAGGGAATCAATTCTGAAATTTATTTCCAAAGCAATTCTCTCAAAGCCCTTCAGCTAGGAATTCGTTTTATCAAGAGTTGCAAAGGTTCTGCTTGGATATAAACCCAGAAATGTATGAACTATAATATAATAATAGGTGGAGGTAATCTATTAATGGAAAAAGAATAATTGAATAATTGAATATTCTTCAAAAATACTAACAATTGAGCATAATAGAAGATTATTCTATTCTTGAGCTGTGGTGGTACAATAGTTAGAAGGCAGTATTGCAAGCTAATTCTGCCGACTGCCAGCAGTTCGATTCTTACCAGCTCTAGGTTGACTCAGCCTTCTATCCTTCTGAGGTCAGTAAAATGAGGACCCAGATTGTTCGGGACCATATGCTGACTGTAAACCGCTTAGAGAGGGCTTTAAAAGCATTATGAAGTGGTATATAAGTCCAAGTGCTGTTGCTATTGCTATTCTTAATGCTTGGCCTTTTTTCCCCTTTTGCTAATATACTACTATTCCCTATTTCATTTTGATTAAGCAGATATGTTTTTAGAACAGGCCTGTTATTTAATTCGATTTTAGCACAGAAACTATTTATTTATTATTGTGGTTTTTAGTATCGCCTGTTCACCGCCCTGAGTCCCGTAAGGGAGATAGGGCGGTATATAAATTTAATATAAAAAAAAATATTTGCAGGAAAGAACAACCGGGCAAGTTAAAAACAAATGAAAATGAAAAGTTAGACCTGAAATACAATCCCAGGCTTTCTCTCTTCCAATTATTGCATTTTTATGGCACGTTCTTTCAACAGAAGACTCGGCAGCAAAGAAGGCAGTTTGTCATTTTAATGGAAAAACCTACGCGGATGAAGAACGTTGGGACATTGATAGCTGCACTCATTGCTACTGCTTGCAGGGTCAGACGCTTTGTTCCACAGTTAGTTGCCCCTCTCTTCCTTGCGTGGAACCAATTAATGTGGAGGGAAGTTGCTGTCCCATGTGCCCAGGTAAGTTAGATTCTGGTAGTTTGTCATTATATTTTTTTTACATAAAGACATTAAATAATAATTTGTCCAAGATAAGAGAATACATTTTTATTAAATAAAAGGCGCTAGTTTGATTTTCGGGTATCCGGTATTGAAGTCAAGACTTGTTTTCAGAAACTTTTTGGTATCTTAAAAAAAACATCTCTACAGGTAAGTCCTTGGCTTACGACTGATTAGTTAATAATTGCTCAAAGTTACGATGGACTCAAAAAAGCTACTTAAGACCCATCCTCAAAGTTACAGCTGCCATATCATCTCCACAGTCATATAATCACATTTTGGGCACTTGGCAACCGACTTGTATTTATAACCAGTTGCAGCACATGATCACACTTTGCAACCATTTTGCCTGTTTATGTATTTTGGCAATTACATGGAAAACAGTAAAAGAACATCTTTGTTAACAGTATTCCAAGACTTTATAGTTTTTAAATCTTGTTCTGTTTATAGTGGCAGAAAAATAATTTTTTTTTAACACCGTAATTCAAAAACCCATCTGTTGTTACTACCAGTGATAAGGACTGGGTTTTCATAATGCTATTATCAGACATATTTTCTGCCTCTTTTACTTTATAATTTTAGGCAGCCTATTTATACCTAGAGCTCTGAAAAACTAAAAAAATATTTCATTAATGTATTGCATGTTTTTAATATATTAAATGTAGAGTCCATTTTAAATAACATTTATTCACAAACTTTGTTAACAATGCTGGTATCTAGATTAGCTAGCTTTCCTATCAGTTCCTTATTATTTTGCAGAAATGTATGTACCTGAACCTACCAACATTCCAATTGAGAAGACAAATCATAGAGGTGATAAAGAACTAGAAGCACCAATCTGGCCTACCTTCAGTGAAAATGATGTTGTCCATATCCATAAAGGTAAACACCATTTAAATTGATTATCTCTGCATAAAGCAAAGACACTTAGGTAAGCTTCAGACTGTTTTTTCTTAAAACCATTTTGGCGATTTTAGTATTTTGAAAGATTTTTAGGAACGCCAAATTTCACTACAAAGACTTGGTTTTCTCTAAATGAGCTGAGCTACAGTTCTCTGCTGGCTGGAGATGAGAGGCCATAACACATTCTCAGCATTAGACTGGGGAAGGCTCCCGTGGAGAGAACTTATCTTTGCCGTTAGAATGGCTTGTTTGAAGCAGAAGAATAGGATGCCTGTTCAGAACAATTGATTATATTTCAATCTAATATAGGATAATCATTTCTGTAGCCAGGAACTGCACATTATTTAACTTTACTTTTTACAGCCTCCAGGGACCATAGAGACATAACGTTGATGTGGTAATTGCAGGAATGGAGGCAGGAATTCTTCATTAAATAATAATAATAATAATAATAGTAATAATAGTAATAATAGTAATAATAGTAATAATAATAGTAAAGTTGGAAGGGACCTTGAAGGTCATCTAGTCCAACCCCCTGCTCAGGCAGGAAACCCTATACCATTTCGGACAAATGGCTGTCCAGTCCCCATGTTGATGGGGCTGTTTTGGTTTGGTTTTCCAGACATCCAAACCATTCTTTAACAGCCCTTTTTTCCTTATTTTTTAAAAGTGAAGAATTACATTGCCCTACTCAGCTTTTTGACATTAAGTTTTAGCAATGCAATTTCAGGGGCTCCAGAGCTTGCAAAAATTGCCTGAAGAACTGCATTTGGCCCAAATTGGGTTGGCTACATTTTTGCTGAATACATTTTTGTACAGGAGAAATGTGTTTATTGTGCAAGTCAATTGATTGTGGTTATTGTAGAAACTGTTAAAAGGCACGAGAATCCAATATGTAGCTAGCAAGAAAGAGGAGGGAAAAGAGTTTTCTCTAATTATGTAATATTTTTCAGGAAAAATGTTTATTAGAAGCCAGATTCAAAAATACCCACAAGTAAGCAGAACATAAATAATGGCAACTCCTCTATTACTTTCTTAGAACTTCCTGAGCTGGAGACAAATTTAGCAATATTTGCTTAATGCAGTTAATTTGCCCCAATGATTTTGGCAGGTCTCTGCTAAGAATAATTAAATCTGTATGATTAAGCCCAGTTAAGTGTTACATTTAACTCTTTTTTTTAATAAACCCATTATTTTATTACCACCTATTGATATCTTTAAATAGGCAACTTTCTGGATTGTTTACAAGAGAAAGCAAAAATTATAAAACAAAAGCTCAACAGGGGCAAAAACATAACATTCAAACAATACACTGTCCACAACAAATCTACAGAATGATGATATTTATATAAATCTTACATCCACAACTGATGAACTTTCTCCAAAGCACAATTCAGTGCCCCTCCCTCTTTAGTTATACATAGCAGATATAATGGAATCTTTACTTAGGCAAAGTCCTTGTGCCTCTGGGGAATCTGAAACCCTGGATCATGTCTTTCTAAGGTGTAAATTCTACATGGAGCTATATTTTCAATTAATTTTGCCTCCAATTGAACAGCTGCTTGGTTACTTAAACACAGATGTCCTAAATCACTGTTTTATTGGTTTTGAGCCTTAGGCTATGTCATTTCCAGACCCAGTAACAGAAGCACACCATGTAGCAAACTGTTATAATACTGTTATATTTTTATTTATTGGATTGTTTTAACATATTTTTGTACTAGACTTCAATCATAATAAAGATAATGCATGCAAAACACTATCAATATTAAATAACAAGCCAACAGCACAACAGTAATGTACAAACCCTAATATAATTTTCCAGTGCATTGACTGAAAAAATCTGGGTATTTAAGAATAAATTAATATTTATTAATAATTAAACAATTTATTAAAATTATTTAAGAATAAATTAAGTTTCCAATCCTACTTGTTTAACCAAAACAATAATAAAATCACTGTAACGGTGTGATGGGCAGCATATAAATTTAATAAATTAAATAAAATTACATTTTCCACTTAAATTATGCTGCGAAAATGTTTAGTTCTAATACTTAGAACAAATTCAGTAGTACAACAAATAAATGTGATTTGTTAAATGTTTTTGTGCACACAATAGATTTGACAAACCTGAAGTTGTACTTGACCTAAGTAAAACTAACTTGAATCTAAATATTTCTTATAGTATTACTTTTAGTTATGAACACATCATTTGGGGGGAAAATATTTTTCAGGTTAATATGTATGATATCTCACCATCAGCTACTCCGTTACTTTATTTTTTTATTGGTAATTTGCTTATTTTTACATTTTACAGATATGGGTCACCTTCAGGGCGAATATAGAGAAACGAAAGGATCACAGCCAAGTGCAGAAGCATCTCTTGATTCTCTTGCCTGGGTAACCGTACCCCTCTTAACAGCTCTAGTTCTTATAATTGCACTTTTGTTTATCAATCAGAAAAAGCAATGGATACCAGTATCCTGCTACAGAACTCCAGCAAAGGTAATGGACTAAATAGCATTTATACTGCATAAATAAGTAACTGGCTATCTTGAATCAGTTGGGCATGTACAATTAAATAAGAGCAGACAGTTATGAAAATGGAGATCTGCAAGTATCTTCCCTGTGTGTTCCCTAAGGATACATTTTCTGAAGCATTGTTTCTTTGGAAGATTGATTGCTTTCAGGGATCTTGGCTTTTGGAGATTTAGGATTGATTAAAGAAAGGGGTTTTCTTTTTCACCTAGCATATAGTTAAACTGTAGCATATACTGCCAACAGCTGGAATTATTGGGTGGTTTTAAAGGAAACAGAAAGTTTCATAGAGGATAGTAACACACACACACACACACACACACACCAAAACAGAGAGAGGAAGTGTTCAATACTGGTTGCTGGAAAGCAGTGTTGGAAAAGACTCTCACTTCAATTTGGGCTTGCAGTGTTCCAAAATATATCATGTTGACCACTATGACAGAACACACAGGAGTAGGTGTTTCTATCAGAGAGAACCTTTCTTATGTTCCTAAACACTTGCCAATGCCTAGAAGAGTACAGCAGCCATTTGCTCAAGAATGTTCTGTATGCTAGGGATCATTCTAATAACTGAATGTTAATTATTTTGATTATAACTATCAATTATTTTATTTACATACTTTTATTACAAATGGAGCCCTGAGCAATGCAAAGAGATAGTATATGTTTGTGCTCCTGGCTTTTGAGTCTGATGATATTGTGGGACTGATTGGCTGACTGTCCCTCACCTTTGCAATTAAGAAGACACTGTTTAGTAGGGAATAAAAACATACTGTACAAAAAAAATGCTCATTTTATGTATTATGTTTCCATCCAAACAGCCTTCCTGCTTAAATAATCAATTAGTGTATGTGGACTGCAAGAAAGGCACCATGGTTCAGGTGGACAGTTCTCAGAGAATGCTTAGAATTGCTGATCCAGATTCAAGATACAGTGGATTCTACAGCATGCAAAAACAGAGTAACTTACAAGCAGATAATTTCTATCAGACAGTGTGAAAAACTGCAACTCTTACCAAGACGTTAAGAAGAAACAAAGGCTGAGTCTGCTATTCAAATAAAATTAGAATCATGCACTTGCTTAGTGGATTGTATTGGATTTGTGACTTCATGTACAGCTCTAAGACCTTGTTGGGATTGACTCTGATTCCTGCAGTGTGCCAGAACAAGCATTCCCACTTCTGACCAAGTGTTTTCCTGGAACCAAAGTTTTAAAATTTGTTGATGTTTTGCTTGTAACATAGTAATCATGATTGTTTGGGAAGAGAAAACTGGGGTAAACTTGCGTGGTTAGAACAAGAAGCTGCAAAGAATAGCTGGTCAGCTTAGCTTGGAGTCAAATAATATCGCTTTTTGCTGACACTCCAAATTGCATTTATTGCAGTGAAGTATAAGCAGAACCCTAACAGAATTCAAATCAGAACATTGGAGGTGCTTATGCTGCTAAAGTAAATCCGTAGAGTAATCTATTGCATGATAGGTGCAGAATAGCTGCAGCTCTATTTTATTATCTGGTCTGAAGCTGCAATAGTAAATGAATGATACAGTGAGGAAAACGTTAAAACAAAAAGGGCAAATATATTGAAGATAAGTACAATTATACATTGTGCTGCTTTTTGTTTTTCATTTTGATGCTAATTGACCAGACTGGCAGTTAGCAAATGTATAATTCCTGAGAAGAGCACTGGATCCTTTGGCAACAGTATTGAAGGGGGAGAGGAAAAGTTAAACACCGTTTGATTCCAGAACTCTGGGTGTGTGCGCGCGCATGTATGTGTTTCTTTTACTGTTTTATCAGTTTCAGGTGGTTCACACACCAAATTATCTTTGAAGAAAATGATCTTGTTGGATGAAGATCTAGCTCAGATTCATTTTTGTATCATGTTAAAAGGGGGGGGGGTCTGTTACTGATTATGCAGACTAGAAGCAACTTTCATGCTAGGAAGCTGCTTAATTTTAATGTATATTACTCAAGCACCTTTTTGGAAGCTCAGAAAGAAAGATCATGCTTCTTTAAAACTTTAGCTTTATAGAAATATCCATGTAAATATCGTTATGCTTAAAAAAAGCATTTGTGTGTCTTTGCGTGTTTAAGTGTTTATGTGTATAGTATTTTATATATACATACACATATGTATATGTGTATGAATATATACATATAAATACACATATACTCCTACTATATATGTATATATGTATATATACAGTATATATATGCTATTTATATATATACAGTATATATCAGTATAATTTTGTATTTTCCCTGTTGAATGTATTTTTAACTGAGATTTTACCCAGAACAGAAACACAGGCATTCCATATTATTACTTAAACTTGCGTGTGTAGAAAGACAAGATGAGGTTATCTCATTTTATCTAGTTTTATTTGATTTGGAAGTGTTAGGATGCAAATGAGCGTGTGTGTGTGCGCGCGTGCCCTTGTGTTTGCATACATATCCAGTGTGTGCACAATTTTAGCAGTAAGCATTAGTATCGCTACTTGCTACATTTCAGGGTGTGTGTGTGCGTTTGTTTTTTTTTATCCTGCATGGCCTTAAAAAGGCTTAAAATTCAATGCATTGGCTAGAGACACTGATAATGTATAGGCAGCACTCCTCAATTTCACAGAATAGCAGTATCTGCATTTGGACATATTTCAAATAGTTGTTTGAAGCATCTATTAAAATAAAGTCCACAACTCACTGAAGGTTTGTTGCAGCTTGACTTGTAACTTTAACTGTACACACAACTTTAACTTTTCCAGACAGGTTTTGGCACTTTTATACTAACTGCCCAGTTGTGTGTTGCCTCTTACTTTCACAATTGCTTGTCCTGAGACACAGATACCCAATATGTTTAATGTGAAAAGAAAATGTATTTTTTGTAAAGGAACTCTCAAGTATTGTTGTAAATACTTGGTCAGAGATTACTGAACTTTAAAACTGAAAAACCTAATTTATTATATGACCTAATTTATTAATCTGAAGATTATCAAATATCTTGTTTTAGAATATCACAAAGTGTTCTAGCTGTTTGTGTCAAAGAGAAAAGGTAATAGGTGTATCATAAAGGCTCAGTGTTTTTTTCTGTTATGAATTCAGTTTCCAAAAGAATAAAAAAATGTAGCCCTTCTGCCCCCCCACAGCATTTTATCCTTAGTATAAAGACACTGAAACAAACATTACTCTTCCATTATTCAGATTCTATCATGGTCAACCATTCATTCCTTTCTTAAAGAGTAAACGGTCTTTATCGGAAAATTGTAAATGCTTGCTTTGTTTTACAATCAAGGCCATATTCTGAATGATACTTGCAGGATATAGGACATGGTGTAAAATGTTTTTTTTATTATTTTATTATTATTTTAAAGATATTATTTATCCTATGTGCTGTATTCATTACACTCTTTTACTTTGGTTCCTGTTGTGCTCTTGTAAGAGAAATGCAGATACAATTTTCTGAAAAATAACATAGATGCATATTATGGCACTTGGAGTGCGCTGCAATTTGGCAGGTTGCTTGTTTACTTTTTAAAATGTAAGATGGTTTCTTGTAATTTGGCTCTTGGCAGCACAATAAAAATTAACTTGATGAACTTTTCATCACTGTGAAATGAGTTTTTCTCTATTGTTTTAATTTTGTTTTAACTTTCCCAGATTTGTATGTTGACAAATAGCTTTTTTGCAGTACATAGAACATTTGTTAAGGATCTAGCCACTTTGAGTTCTGTTTCATAATACTCCATTACCCCATCCCTTCCCATCTTCTAAGGTTTTAACTCAGTATTACAAGGGTATCAGTATTAAATCCTTCTCAAATGATTCCTCAACCTGTTTTAAAGATGATTGTTCTGTTCTCCCTAAATTTATTCTCTCAGCATTGCTGATATTCCTCTTAGTGTGGAAATGTTATTTTCCTTAAAAAATGAGCTGATATTCTCAGCACGCAGCCTTAGAGCACCAGGGTGCCTATAGAGTATATACATCCTTTAATGCTTGTCATCCTCATTTTGCACTTACCCTGTATCTATCCTCAGTATTATATCATAGAGGTGAAAAGGACCATTTAGTCCATCAAGTCTTCATTAACGCAGGATCCAAATTAAAGTATCCCTGAAAGTTAACTTTCCAGCCTCCTACTGAACACATCCAGGGAACAGAATTCTTACCACTTCTCTGGTTATAAATCTCCACTGCTAAACTGCTCTTACTGTTAGGGAATTATTTTATGACATTCAGTTGGAATCAGTTGTGTCCTGCATTCTGAAACAACAAGAAGCAAGTATTGTGTAATATCTGTGTAATATCATTTGAAGAGGGCTCTTGGTCATCTCTTTTAAAGGTTAAACACATCCAGCTCCTTCAAACTCTCTTCATACAGCTTGGTTTCTAATCCCCTGAGCATCCTTCTCTGCCCTTCTGTGAACCTGTTCCAAATTCTCTGCCCAGTGCTGTACTTCAGGTGTAATTTGAGTAATCAAGTGGAACAATTCTGTTGGAAAAAAAGTTAATATTTGCTTTTTTTTACAGCTGAATCGTGCTATTGACTCACATTCAGCTTGTAGTTATTCCAAATACTATTTCCAAAAGCCAGTTTTTCCTTGGGAAGTTTGTATCAATAGATGTCTATGCCTCACTCTCAACATTTCATTATTATGTCCCGTATTCTATTTTAAAGTTAAGGATGCCAACTCTCATCTTTACTTGTAGGCACCTGATGCCTTGGATGGACAAGCTTTTGTTCTACAAGAGTTGCATGAGATACCAGCTCCGTGCTCACTATCCCCATTAGTGCTTCCTTAAAGAAGGAATATCTGTTCTAGTACTCACATAATGGCTATGCAGAATTGTGTTAAGCAACATACTGTATGTTTGATTAAGGAGGTCATCGCACCCTGTTGCTGCCTCTTTTAACATCACAATTCAAATTCATATTTTCTGGTACCCTTCAAATATCAGGTCCCAGAAAATGGCACAGCTACTTTAAGAAGGTGTAGATAGATACAGTAAGCACACTTATGCTCTCTGGTGAAGCCACTGCACATCCTCACCAACATCTAGTGGCATATCCTTAACGCAAGAGGAACGAATCATAACTACTCCAGAGATATTATCTAGCTGATTTGGTTATATTAGTGAAATTCAGTTGTTAAATTCTCACATGCATTACAGCTAAGCCAAAAGCTCACATTTTTCCCGCTCTGCCTGCAAAGAGGAAGAAAAGCTTGGAGCATCCCTGACAGTGATTGGGTGCTGCATCTACAAGGTAAAACCAAAGCCTTGGAAAGAGTTTATTCCAGATTTTATATATTTGATTTTATACTGCTTTAACTCAATTCAAAATAGAAGTGTGACCTGTTCATTCAGCAAAATAGAAGTGTGACCTGTTCATTCAGCATTTCATCTGATGACTCTTAATTACAGTAATTAGTAACGCCTTTAAAATATTTTAGCCACTTGTGTGTTTTATCCATATTAAATGAGTGCATAAATAATGGGGAAACAAGTCTTTGAATGTTCACCAATCATAACATAGATCTGTCTGTCTGTCTAACTTCTTAACTTCCCATCTCCCTTATACAGGAGCTCTGGGCGATGTAAATCTCATCAATAGAATAAAACATGAAAAACTGAATAATTTTAAGATTAATAATTTTAAAAATGTAAAACAATATTATAACATATCAAGCTAATTGTGCTTACTATAGGTCATCAGTTATCTGAATAAAGGAAGCAGGACGTTTCCAGCCTGTTAAGTTAAAAAAAAATAGGTGAAAAAGAATTTTTCATATGGAATATTTATCCTATCAAAGGTGATGCATTTCTAAAAGGTTTCAGTTTGCTTATAGCTAAATTGTACTGTTTAGCACAAATTCCAAGTTTTCTGACATCAGGGTGATGACAAAAATAAAACTTACTTGAAATGTTAAGTGATTTGTGGCATTGCAAAATTTGGGAATTCAAGCCTTATTGACACTGTGGTGATTAGATGAGTAGGTTTTAAAATCATTATAGAAATAATACAGCTTTCAAAAGAGGTATTTGCATATTCTTGTTATTTACTGCTTTGCTATTTCTCATTATGATATGATGAATTATTGTTGGAGCCAGGTCTTCCCTAATTTAGGTAACTCCCTTGAACTTGTCACCATGAGAATTTTTCTTTCCTGAATTCTTTCCCTGAAGTAAGATAGTACTTCCTTTTAGGACGTTTCAAGTAAAAGATTAAAAATAACAAAGAAGCATATGTTCTTTTTTTTGTTTTGTTTTAAAATGTATATGAATTAAACCTACCATGAGTAGAAGTTTGACTCCTGATGGCAGAAGGTAAAAAAACTGAAGGCCACCTTTTTTTAAAAAATCACCAGGGAGGATGAAAAGCACATATACATTATACAGAGAGGTCTACAGGAGAAAAAAGCCTTTAAGGAAAAATTTGCCCATATGCACAAGAAGCAGAAGGATACCAGGTATGAAGAATACATCACAACATAAGATAAGATAAGATAACCTTTATTGTCATTTTTTTACTGTGGGCACACCGGCACACATCAAAAATGAAAATTAGTTGCCCGCTCTCAAAGTGAAACACATACATGACACACACCTAAACATACTATGAACAACATATGTATAGACCCACATCCCTACATATACGTAGCAAATAAATATTAAATACTGTCCATCTTGAATATATAACGGAAGGAGGAAGCTTGAGAGTTCACAAGGTTAATGCTGTATGGAATGAAACTATGGCTGAATCTGGATGTTCTGCTACAGACACCACGAAGCCTCCTCCCAGAAGGTAACAAGGAAAACAGGTCGTGAAGAGGATGTGTAGTGTCCCAGATAATCTTATGAACCCTGCTCAAACAACGCTTCTGTGCTATGTCCTGGA